GGGGAAGACTGATCCTCGGCTCCTCTTTGCCACAGGTGACAAATACTGGGTGTTTAAGGAGGTGACAGTGGAGCCTGGGTACCCCCACAGTCTGGGGGAGCTGGGCAGCTGTCTGCCCCGAGAAGGCATTGACACGGCTCTGCGATGGGAACCAGTGGGCAAGACCTACTTTTTCAAAGGCGAGCGGTACTGGCGCTACAGTGAGGAGCGGCGGGCCACGGACCCTGGCTACCCCAAGCCCATCACCGTGTGGAAGGGCATCCCACAGGCTCCCCAAGGGGCCTTCATCAGCAAGGAAGGATGTATGTAAGGGCCTGGAAGGGTGGGGGGTCTGATTTTATGTAGGTCTCAGCAGGGCCCATGGGCATACTCTCAGGGTATCCAAGTTTGAGAAACACCACCTAGTGGCAAAGACAACTGCCTCATATCCACCCATGTTCACACAGTAAATTAATTCTCTGTTACGAGCTACCAAGTCACACTTTCTCATCTGCAGGAATGATTCACAATTGAGAGATGTTTTCACACACTGACTTCATTCCTTCAGACAGCATTTCTCAAACAGAGGTCCTCAGGGGTCCTCTAGGGGTTCCTCAAGTTATCAAATCTGAAAAGCAAGATGGATATGGGTGGGTCAAAGGTGCTTTTTCACAGGGCTTGAGGGCAGGAAAATGGAAAGAGAAGCCTCTTTTATTTGTGACATTTCCTAAGCTCCTCCTGGAGCCCAGGCTGGCAACCAGCCACCATGGCTGCCATTAGGCACTCACAGCTCTCTCCCCACCAAACTAAGTGCTTCTCTAGAGGAAGGGCCAGATATTGCCAGGTGCAGAGTGGGTATCCATGAATGTTTGTTAAATACATCTCCCTGATCTGACCAAAAGCACACACTCTGGAGCCAGACTGGCTGGTTTCACATCCCATCTCCACTTACTATGAGTTTAGGCAAATCACTCAAGTTTTCTCAGTTTCCTCAGCTATAAAATGAGAAGAATAATGATACCCACCCCATAGAGCTTTGTGAGGATTAAAGAAGATAAATTATGTAGAGCACTTAGACCAATGCCTAGTACCTGGCCCATGCCATATAAGTTTTAGCTTATGCCATCATGATTATCATCTCATTGGTGTGTTTTAGTTTATGCAGTGACACAAGTCATTCATTGACTCCACGATGATTACTGAGAGCCAGGTTGTGTGGGAGGGCTGGAGATGGAGCAGGGAACAAGACTTGCATTGCATCCCTGGCTCCCAGTCTAGAAGCAGACAACAAATAAAGTGCCAACAAATGCTATGAGGGAAAAAAAATGCTGTGAGAGAGCAACTAGGCAGAGAGGGCCATGTTAGAGAGGGTCACTGGGAAGGGCTCTCAGAGGAGACATCACTGGTAAGAAAGCCAATGGCCACAGGGGCAAAGCTGCTATTTGGTGGCTCTCCTATGTACCTGATGCTTTCCACACATGGTCTCACTTTCTGGGGAGCCTCAGAGACAGGTGACATCAAGGACTTTAGCCAATGAAAGTCCCAGCCAGGGGGAGCCAGCCAATAGGAGTGTCTGAACAAGTTGCTTTGCATCTGTAGACTGGTTGGGCCGCTGAGGCTGTTGCTGGGAGCTTTGGGGTGGCTGCCCAGTGCTGCTGCTGCTTTTCCTTCCAAGTCCTACCCCAACAGTGTCCCAGAGACCCTGCATCTGTGTCACGAAGTGATGTGTGCCAAGCCAAAAAGACCCATAATTGCAACAAGGTGGTGTCTGCTGTCAAGAGGAGGAGAAATCTTGCTCCCTGCCTCCCTTGCTTCAGGCAGGAGCTGGATGGAGGCCCTGGAGCTACAGAGACAGTGTTGTCTAAGCAATAGTTGGGAGCTTGAGCTGACCTATGTGGGGGCAGCTATGAGTACAGCGTGACAGAGCTGAGAAGGGTCCTGTCTGGGAGGCACTAATTGAACTTACCAATTCTACTTAAAGCCCCTCAGTGGCTTCCCAGCACCTTTGAGATGATAAGTGGGCTAGTCCAGGCCCCTTTCTGGAGCTGTGCAGGTCGCACTTCATGACCCAGCCACACTATTTTCAGGGTGTGCCAAGCACTGCACTCCCCCACCTCTAAGCATTCCAACACACTGCACAACCCCCACCTCCAAGCATTCCAACACGCTGCTTCCACCTTATCAGCCCATCCCTCCTTCAGAGCTCCTCTTGGGTTCTCCATGGTGAGCGAAGTGCCCCTCCTCCATGGTGCCACAGCACCCTGTGTGTGCCCTCTCACACTGGCCCAGAGCAGGTGCAGCGAAGTGTCTGGGAATGGTGATGCTAGGCCGTGTTTCTACAGATTACACCTACTTCTACAAGGGCCGGGACTACTGGAAGTTTGACAACCAGAAACTGAGCGTGGAGCCAGGCTACCCACGCAACATTCTGCGTGACTGGATGGGCTGCAACCAGAAGGAGGTGGAGCGGCGCAAGGAGCGGCGGCTGCCCCAGGACGACGTGGACATCATGGTCACTATCAACGATGTGCCAGGCTCTGTGAATGCCGTGGCTGTGGTCATCCCCTGCATTCTGTCCCTCTGCATCCTGGTGCTGGTCTACACCATCTTCCAGTTCAAGAACAAGGCAGGCCCTCAGCCTGTCACCTACTATAAGCGGCCAGTGCAGGAGTGGGTATGAACAGCCCAGAGCCCTCTCTGTTCACTCGGTCTGGCCAGCCAGGACCTTCCTCACCAGGGTCTGAGGGGCAGCTCTGGCCACTGCCCACTGGGGGAAGCAGGGCCCTAGGCCAGAGGTCGTGCAGCTGAAGTGGTAGGTGCATTGGCCTAGGCTGAGCATGGGGCAGGGAGTGATGGTGGCTGCCCCAGGGTGGGTGTCTGGCACCCAGCTGCCAGCCTTCTGTCCTGGGTAAACTGCTCCCTACTCCAGGGAATAGGCTAGGCCCCATGAGGAGGCAGGGACCATGCTAGGAGGAGGCTCTGTGGTCACTGCATCCTGTGGTGTCCATGAGGCACCACAGCTCTGTTCCTGGCTGGACCCAGCTCCTTCTGTGGGAAGCCAGCACTAGCGCTCTCAGCCCCATCTGGGAGATGCCACCAGTCCTGGTTCCCCCTTGCCAACACCTGCTGGTCAGATGTCCCCCCACCCCCACCCCATGGTCCTCCAAGGCTACAGGACCCCTGCTGCCAACACGGTGGGCAACAAGTCTGGGTTTCCCCTGCTGCCATACAGCAGATCCCTCAGGAAACCTGCTCCACACATCAGGGTCTCCTCTGAGACCCAGGATTTAGGGTCACATGCTGCAGGCAGGGCTGTGGCCCAGCTGGGTCTGACAAGGACCCAGTTGTCACATCGTGAATATTTAAATGTCCTGTCACTACTGTTTAAAGTCCCATTCTGCAAAGGCTGCTTGAGGCTTTAGGTGAATTAGAGGTGACTGTCTTGGTGATGAGGCCTGTGTGGCCGGCCCTCCTCCAGGGGATAAGGAAAAAGGTGCTGCTAAGGCCATTCTAGCACCCAGACACCACAGGAGCTGAGCCCTACTCATGAGGCTAAAGGACTGGGGCAGCACTTCCCATTTCTGGAAGCCAATCTGAGTTTGTGACCATCCTCCACTCACTTCCCATTATTCCTATCCCTCTCCCCATTCCCCCAATCCCCAGCCCTGCTCCAGTCTATTGCTTGTGGCCTGGGTACTCAGCCTGACTAGTTAGGTGAGGTATAAATGGCTCCAGGCCAACATTCTCATAGCCTTGGGGTAAGGGACCCAGGGTAGCCTTCTGAAGTACTGAGAGCCCACACCTCTAGCTCTCCTGAGGCCTACTCAGTCTCTCAGCCTGGAAGCAGTGTTTATACCACGAGCTTGGTCCTTGCTACCCCAGCTCACTGGTCCCACCTTCCTGCATTGCTCTTTGGAAAAGGGCACCCCCAGCTGGTAGTGGCCCAAGCCGAAGGGTCTCTCTTTTTGACCCTTCTTGGGACCACCCTTCACTGTCTCTGGCAGGAATTCCTAGGGCTTAGCTTGCCTCACTCCAACCCAGTGGAGGTAGTCCTGCTGGTTACTGAGAAGCCCTAGGCAAGACCAGTGGGTTCAGTGATGCCCACTGGCTCTCTGCCAAAGCCAAGAGAAGGTATCAGTCTCTAGGGTGCTGGCAGGGCCTCAGATGCCACCCTGGCTCTCTGAGCCTGCATGGGCCTGGCCCCCAATGGCCTCTGGGCTTTGGGTCAGCTTAACTTATAGCAGACAGGGACTCCTGTTGTGAGCTGTCTCAAGCAAAATCTCTCTTGTCCCAGAGGCACCTATGTGGGTCCACTGTGTTCCCTGTCATCATCCTTCTGTTTTTTTCTCATTTTGACCAAGGGCGGGCTCCCTGGGGCGGGTGGGGAACAACTGCAGAGATATTAGTGATTCATAGGTTTGTACAGTGTTTTATACTTCGCAAAGCACTTTATTAGCTCACACCTGTCCACTCACATCAAACTCGTGTAGGCCCTGGGAGGCCGAGGGTAACTCTCACCGTGCTCTCAAATGAACCAGAGAGAGGTTGTTACTTGCCCAGGCCCTCCAGTAGGCTGACTGAGCCTTGGGTCCCCACCTGTGGACCCCTCTAGGGTCCAAGATGAGATCAGAAGTGTCTCTTTTATCCATCTTTTCCTGGCCTCCCTTATCCCCTTCCTGGTCCCTCTCCACTCCTCAGGTTGGTGCTCTCACTTCTTGAAAGCTCTAGGCCGCCCCCAGGCTCCCCATTGGCTCCTGATACTACTGAGGCCAGCTGAGAAAGAGCAGGAGATGGAGGCAGGCAGCCCAGGCTGCAGATGTGAGGGATACAGGGCCAGGCCCAGAGAACGCTCAGCCTGGAGGCTTCCACCCTCAGATTCTCCTGCCTGTGGTCATCTGTTTGTCCATCACCCCAGGACCAGACAGACAGAGGGGCAAAGCACTGGGGGCCCCAGAGCCTAGCTTCCCCTTGGCCTGGGGAACATCATAGCATTTCAGTGTCAGTCACATTTTAAACTGATCAGCCTTTGTATAATGTTTTTTAAATCATTTCTAAATAAAACAAAAATACAGAGTGTGTCATTTCCCTGGGATGTGGGAACAAGGATTAAGTTCTGAGAGTGGCCTTAAAGAAGCTTCTGGGAGAAGACATTCCAGGGTGCTTTGGGGTGTCTGGGAGCTACCCCACGCATCTCACCTGCCAGCCCAACAATCAGATGTCTCCCCTTTCCAAAAGGCTGGCTGTGGAGGCCCAGTGTTACTGGGGTCCCAGGAATACAGACTGATAATGGCTCACTGGGATCCAGGATAGAGAAGCTACCTCCCCTAACAGTACGGGGAAGGTCACTGTGACAACGTCTTTTCTGAAGTCAAGGCACACGGTGCCATAACCAGGGACAAAAGCAAGAGCCCAGTTCTCAGCAATAAGGGGCAGACAAGGTGAGGTCAGGTCTGTAGCCTTGCGGCCTTACCAGGATCCCTGGCCTGGCTCTGGAAGCCAGTAACAAGGAGGGCTGCCCCAGGACCCAGACGGCTGGAGAAGGGGTGGTAGTGAGCACGAAGGTCTGAGCCGGTTTGGGTGCAAACTGGGAAGCGAACAAATTCGGGGTGGTGGGAGTGGCCAGAGGCGAGACGCTGCCCCGTGGCAAGGCTGTGGAGGCGGCCCTGCCAGGACTTCCTTTCAGTCCTCCACGACCTCCTGATTCTCAGCGGGTCTCCGAGGCGCCGGGGTCGGGGGAGAGATGACAAGAGACGGTTCAGGCGAGGCGGACAGAACGACAGGAGACGGCTGGCGGAACTGCGAAGGGCAGCGAGTCAGTACCAGGAGGTGCAGACGATGAGGAAGCGCACGTCGTCCAGCGGCCCCCAAGGGCCAGGCTCGGGCGGGGGCCGCTGAGGGCCCTCGGGCGCTGCAGGCTGGGGCTGGGGCTGGGGCTGGGGCTGCGCTGGTTCCGGGACGCCCTGGCCGCCGCTCACCTGACCGCCCATGGTCTGCTAGGGGAGACGCCCGTCAGGTGTGGGGCCAGCCGCATGCCACACCCGCTCCGGCCCGGCCCCCAGCCCCCGCCCCCAGCCCTCACCTCACGCAGTCGCAACCGGAGCCGCAGGTCTCCAGGATCCCAGCGCCGGTGTCCGCTCCCTGCTCGCAAGCGCAGCGGCGCCGGGAGGAGCTGGCGCCGTGACGTCGACGCGCATCGACCCCGCCCCCTGGCTGTCGAAGCGGAAAGTTCCAGGCCCCGGGAGCGGGGCCCAACCAACCCGACCCCACCCACCAGCAGCCGGCCAATCCCGTCTCAACGTCACGGGACCCCGCCCCGCGCGCGGCCCAAAGACGGGTGGAGCCGGCCCAGCTACCAACGCGCCTCCCGGCGGCTACCGCGCTCCGTGCTCACTCAAGCTCCTAAGGGAAGAGGTCTACCAACGTTGGTCTGCGGCTGTCCAGGGCACCTGCCAGCCAGGCCAGCACTCTCCATCCGTCTTGGGAGAAAAGGGACAACACCGCCCTGTAGCCAGGTGCCCCGGAGCCCTTATAGGGTCCTCACACCAGCCCAAGGGACAGCTGGAACACACTCTCATCCTTTGAAGCCCGGAAGTATAAAGCTGAAGTTGCCTGGAAAATGTGAGAACTACAGTGGAGTACTTCTTCCTCTTGCCCTGGAATGAAGCCACCCATCCCGATGATGGAGGAGGAGGGGTGGGAGATTGTGGAACCGAGGAGTATGTATGCATCCTACCCCGCCTTCCCCCTGGAACAATGGGGGGTGGGGGCCTGGGTGCAGGCTGAGGTCCCCAAACAACACATTCACAACAGAATGACCAGAAGCAGCTGCCCTTTAATGGGACAGTAGAACTTTCAGCTAGGGGTCACAGGGCCTGACCACCAGCATGATGTGGCAGATTTCTGCAGAAACCAGATTCAAGAGGTGGAAACAGGCAAAGAAGGGCTAGGCCTCCAGCCAACTCAGTCCCAGTAGGCTCTCTGCCACCTCCCTATCAGCATCCGGTACAGACTGGGTGGCGCATGGAGAGGGAGCCAAAGTCCATAGCCAGGAACCCATGGAACAGCATGGAAGGTGACTCAGGCAAGGCTAGAGAGAGAAAGAGAAAGAGAAAGGAGCATCATCAGCAGGTGCTTCACAGAGCACACCTCACCCTTCATTCTCAAGGTGCTTGCCTCCAGCCTTACCCCTAGACCTCAGTTCCAGCTCAGCCCCGAAGAGCAACACTCAGCCCCTTCCAGGTTTCACTGTTCCCAAGATTAACAATCCAGTATAGAAATCTCAATGCTTTAAAAACTAAAAGTAACTCCTTTCCCACTCAGGTGGGTCAACTCAATTAATTTATTCAAACTGTTATTGATCATAAATCAGAACCTCAGCGAGCCCAGACAAAGAAGGGATGTGCCCAGACCATAAATCTCCCAGAGGCAGGGATGGGGCCAGAACATTCTTCCTGGAGGTGATAATCATGTGCATGATCATAATACTGAAGTACATATTTCTAATCACCTACCTGATTCCTTCATCGTGAGGTCTCATGGGCACTTCAAACTCAATGGGTTCAAAAGCAAAGGAGGCTAATGAGTGTTGTCTCTTCGTTTTCAATACCCATTTCTTTCTTATCTAACTGCATAGGCTAGGACCACCAGAATAATGCTGACCAGTGCTGGTGACTGTAGGCAATTCTGCCTGACTTGGCAGTTTCTGAAGTTTCACCTTTAACGGCAACATTTGCTGCAGTTTTTTAGTAGGTACTAATTATCAGGTTACAGAAATTTATTTGTTCTTAGGTTGCTAAGAGGTTTTTTGTTTTTTTCTTTAAATGATTAACTGTGTAAGTACTGTCTTCTTTATGAGATTGTATATTTCAAAAGGGCAGGGAGGGTATATTTTATTAATCACATCATTACTGTCTGGCACATAATAGGTGCTAAAAAAAAAAATCTGTTGAATGGACAAAAGCATGGATACCACTTTCTTGTTCAGATCCTTTTAACTGCTCTCCAGTGCTGACAGCAGTTTGTCAGTGTGACCTCCAAACTGCCCCCATCAGAATCACCCAGGAAAGCTTATTTAAAAAACCACCATGGTTGGGTACCACTCCAGACCTAAGGAATCAGTATCTGAGAAGTGACACCAGGAATCTACATTAACAAGCATCCCAACATACAAAGCTCAAAACCACAGGTCTACAGTCAAAACTGTAGTATTCAGAGTCCTCAACACCCTAGGAATACCACCTTTCCCCTTCACACCCTCCACACTTTCCCATCTCTGTTTGTCTGAAGTGCTTCCCCATTCCATCTCTGCGTATTCAAGTACCTATTCATTCCCTGAAGCCCACACTAAATGATTTGTCCTCCACAAAACCTTCTTGGATCCCAGAAAGTGTCTCACTGGAGCTTTCCAAGCCACTTAAGGCACCTTTGCTTTCTCCTTTGAAGGTAGCTAAGTTATGTGTGGCCACTGCATCTTTTCTGTCCTGCCATACTGTGAGGCCCTAGAGGCAGGACATAGGACTAAGTTGCCTGACTATCCCACATGGAGCCTTGTCCACAGGGCTCAATGATCATCAGGTGAATGAATGAAGGAGGGAGAATGATAGGAAATTTTGCCCCTGGTGAGTAGGGGGTCTGTTACTTGGCACTTGCTCTACACTTTGGGGTTTCCATCCTCATAAAGACTGCTGTGCTAGTTGGGTGTGACATGTTTTGAGAAGGATCCTCAATGGGGGATGAGAGAGGGAGAGGCTGAATATCCAGCACCTGCTGCTCGTCCAAAAAAAGGCATTATAGAGCCTCATACCCCAGAATCTCCTGAGTTAGGGCCCAAGTACCTTCTTTTTAAAAAAAGCCAGATGATCGTGATTGTGATGCAATCCCCTCCCAACAAGTCCCTTATGCATCTGGGTTCTCCTCAGTTCCTAAGAGCAGTCTCCCCTCCTCCTCTCAGTAAACAGCTCTTTTCTGATCTGGCTCTGGGCTATTGGCTGGGGACAGCGACACACAGGCAGATACAAACTGCAAAACAATGTGGTCAGTGATGAAATAAGATGCACCAGAGGGAAGCTTTGCCCAGAGGTAACATTGAGCTGAGTCTTCAAAGATGGGGATAAGCAGATGCTCATGCAACACCTGCTGGCTGTACCCTATGACTGCTCAGCAGTGCACAGGTGGGCCCTCAGATATAAGGAGAAGCTACCAGTACGAATACAGTGTGGTTCCCATTCTAGGTGGCATCTCCTTCCCCTACCCCCAAAAGGCAGAAGAGAGGAGAGGCCCAGGCCGAGATACCTGTCAATGAGAGAATCCCGCATGCTGGTAGCAATGGTGCTAGGCTGGGCTTCGTTCAGCTTGAAGACACTCTCCACCACTGACAGCTCTGTGCTGGTTGTGTCCAGACCACAGAAGGCACACCAGTCATTCACCACCATCCCAGCAGCGATCACCTCACTGCCTCGGTTCACAGTGCCCGCCTGCCAAAGAATGAGCTCAGTGTAGGTCACTGCACCAACAGCCAAAGTCTCTCCCCTCCCTGATGAGGACTCTACCCAAACTCTTCTCCCTGACCCACAGGCTCAGTCCCAAACTGTGGCAGGTAATAACACAGATTCCTGAACAGTGGGCAAAGAGATCTGCCTCAGCAGGAGAGAGAGGACAGGAATGCTTACCACAAGTGGGACCTGAAGAAGAGAAGACAGCTCATCCTGGTCTTCAATTGAAGTCTTGGGATGTACCAGCCCTCCCTGATTGCTGAAGACACAGTAGCTCCCTACTAGCACCTGGTCAGCCACTGTCTGTCTGAAGACTTCCACCTTGAGCACATCAGCCAGGATTTCCTCTGTCTCCTGTCAGCCAAAGATACCGTATTCAGGGCCCAGAACTTGCAGGCCAAAGAACCCGAGGCCCTCCACGCCCAGAGCCACCTGGGGCTTAGTTCCCTGAGCCCTCATTCCTCCTCTACATATGAAAGCTTCACCCAGAAACAGGAGAGTATATAGCTTAGAGCAGAGTCTAGAGCAGCTCTGGAGTCCCTGATATCTAATGCCCTGAACAGCCAGGGGCTGGTCTCCACGTCACGCTCTTCCCTCTAACCCACACTTAAAAGAGTTCAGTCAATCTCTCCTGGCTCTGGCTGCAGGACCAGATGGGTTAGTCTCCCTGATTCTGAAGGATTAATACCCTCCCCAGCTTCTTTCTGGCACTGACCACACCATGGAAGGCCTCTAATATTACTATTCCAGTGCGTGCCTGAAATGTGAGAGCCAAGTAGAAAAAGAAACCACAAGAGACTCCCCTAAATCCTGACTGATAGGCAAGAAAAGTGGTTAAGCACTGACTAGGCTGGTCCTGGATCAAACTGGGCTGCCTCACCCTGTCTAGGTCTGGGTGGACCAAGGCCACATAGTCGTTGCAGGTGGTGACATTGCCCAGGGCTGAGAGCCGCTCCTCCACTCGCCGAATCTGCACTGAGTCTGGGAGGCAGTTGCGAATGTGTTGTAGCTCCTGGTCAGTGGTGTTGTTGGGCACCAGGAGACCATGCCTGTTCCCTGGAGAGATCCAAATTAGGGGTGTGTTGGGGAGGTGGGGGCAATGGACCATGAATACAAAAGATGCCTGCAAAGCTCTGGGGCCAGAGGATACAATCCAGCCCAATCAGCTTCCCCAGGAAAGCTTTAGGCCCAGACCCCAGTCCTCCAACCCACTGATCCATACAACAAACAGAGGGACCAGGAGTCTCACTGGACAGGCCAGCGATGGCCCAGGAGTCTGTCCCAATATACCCTACCCACTTGCCATCATCAACCGGGGGCACCAGGACTAGCAGGAAAGGCTACTGGCATCAGTTATACATTTTGCTACTTCAAAACTGAGCTAACGCTACACACCTACCAGAATGGCTAAAATTTTTAAAAAGAATATCAATACCAAGTGTTGGCAAAGATATATGGAGCAACTGAAACTCTCATACACTCTAACAGGAATGTAAATCAGTCAACCACTTCAGCTAATTATCTGGCATCACCTAATACACTGAATATTCACATACCCTGTGACCCAGCCATTCCTCGCCTAAGTATTATACAGGCATATCTCATTTTATCATGTTTGCTTTATTGCACTTCACAAATATTGCATTTTTTACAAACTGAAGGTTTATGGCAAACCCACACCAAGCAAGGCTAATGGCACCATTTTTCCAACAGCATTTGCTCACTTCATGTCTCTATATCACATTTTGGCAATTCTCACAATATTTCAAGCTTTTTAATTATTATTATATGTTATGGTGATCTGTGACCAGTAATCTTTGATGTTACTATTGTAAATTGTTTTAGGGCACCACGAACCATGCCCATATAAGATGGCAAACTTAATAAGTGTTGTGTGTGTTCTGACTGTTCCACCAACCAGCTGTTCCCCTCTCTCCTTCCCCTCCAGCTTCCCTATTCCCTGAGACACAATAATATTGAAATTAAGCCAATTAACAACCCTATGATGGCTTAAGTGTTCAAGTGAAAAGAAGGACTCTCACTTTAAATCAAAAGCTGGAAATGATTAAGCTTAGTGAAGAAGGCATGTTGAAACTCAAGACAGGCCAAAAGCTAGGCCTGTTGTGCCAAAGAGTTAGCCAAGCTGTGAATGCAAAGAAGTTCTTGAAGGATATTAAAAGTGCTACTCCAGTGAACACACAAATGATAACAAAACAAAACAGCCTTACTGCTGATATGGAGAAAGTTTTAGCAGTCTGGAGAGATCAAACCAGCCACAAAATTCCCTTAAGCTAAAGCTTAATCTGAGCAAGGCCCTAACTCTCTTCAATTCTATGAGGGCTGAGAGAGTGAAGAAGCTGCAGAATAAAAGTGAGAAGCTAGCAGAGGTCAGTTCATGAGCCTTAAGGAAAGAAGCCATCTCCATAACATAAAAGTGCAAGGAGAAGCAGCAAGTGCTGATGCAGAAGCTGCAACAAATTATCTAGAAGACCTAGCTAAGATAATTAATGAAGATAGCTACACTAAACAACAGATTTTCAATGTAGACAAAATAGCCTGATACTGGAAAAAGATATTACCCAGGACTTTCATAGCTGGAGAGAAGTCAATGCCTGGTTTCAAAGCTTCAAAGGACAGGCTGACTCTTGTTAGGGGCTAATGAAGCTAGTGACTTTAAGTTGAAGCCAATGCTCATTTACCATTCTGAAAATTCTAGGGCCCCTAAGAATTATGATAAATCTACTCTGCTTGTGCCCTATGAATGGGACAACAAAGCCCGGATGACAGCACATCAGTTTACAATATGGTTCACTGAACATTCTAAGCCCACTGTTGAGACCTGCTCAGAAAAAAAAGATTCCTTCCAAAATATTACTGCTCATTGATAATGCACCTGGTCACCCAGGAGCTCTGATGGAGATGTACAATGAAATTAATGTTGTTTTCACACCTGCTAACACAACATCCATTCTGCAGCCTGCAGATCAAGGACTAATTTCGACTTTCAAGTCTTCTTGCTTAAGAAATACATTTCGTAACGCTATAGCTGCCATAGGTAGTGATTCCTCTGATGGATCTGGTCAAAGTAAACAAAAAACCTTCTAGAAAGGATTTACCATTCTAGATGCCATTAAGAACATTCGTGATTCATGGGAAGAGGTCAAAGTACCAACATCAACAGAGTTTGGGAGAAGATGAATCCGTCCCCCTCGCCTCATGGATGACTTTGAGGGGTTCAAGACTTCAGCGGAGAAAGTAATTGCAGATTTGATGGAAACAGCAAAAGAACTAGAATTAGAAGTGGAGCCTGAAGATGTGACTGAATTGCTACATTCTCATGATGAAACTTTAACAGATGAGGATAACTTTAACTTTTAAAGATGAGCAAAGAAAGTGGTTTCCTGAGGGGGAATGTACTTCTGGTGAAGATGCTGTGAAGACTGCTGAAATGACAACAAAGGACTTAGACTATTACATAAACTTAGTTGTTAAAGCAGTGGCAGGGTTTAAGAGGACTGACTCCAATTCTGAAACAAGTTCTACTGTAGGTAAAATGCTATCAAACAGCATCGTGTGCTACAAAGAAGTTGTTTGTGAAAGGAAGAGTCAATTGACACAGCAAACTTCACTGATGTCTTATTTTAAGAAACTGCCATAGCCACCCCGGCCTTCAGCAACCATCACTCTGATCAGTCAGCAGCCATCAACATCGAGGCAAGACCCTCCACCAGCAAAAAGATTACGACTCACTGAAAGCTCAGATGATGGTCAGCATTTTTTAACCAATAAACCACTTTTTAATTAAAGTATGTACATTGTTTTTTAGACATAATGCTATTGCACACTTAACAGACTACAGTATAGTGTAAACCTAACTTTTATATGCACTGGGAAACAAAAGAATGCCTGTGACTCACTTTATTGCAATATTCACTTTATCACAGTAGCCTGGAACCAAAACCACAGTATCTCTGAGGTATCCCTGTACATCCAATAAAAGACTTAGATGTGTTCACTAAAAAACATAGCAGCACTATTCATAATAGACTAAACCGAAAACTACCCAAATGCCCATGTCAATAGAATGGATGAATACACTGTGGTATACTTACACAAAATATAAAGCAAAAAGAATTAACAACTACAATTACACTGTGACAACAATGACTAAACCTCTGCCTACCTCTGCAAGGCCACAACTTTGAACTTCTGAACTCTGAGTTACTCCCATCATAAAAAAGACACCATCGGCCAGGCTAAATTCTCCTGTTATGTAAGAACTTACTTCAAGGCCTAAGGTCATGGTTAGGAAGCAGAGCAGAGTAGAGGGACAAACTCCTATATGACCCAATGAGCAGAACTAGAAATAAGGGGTGGGAGTAAAGGGAGACAGATCCAGCTCAAATAAAGGACCAATGGCCAGAGTAAACAGTGCTGAGAAGTAGTGGGGTAGGGTGGGATGCCACTCATAGACGTGGTAAAGGGAATTTAAGATTTAAAGGAATAACTAAGCAGGATGCCCCAGAATCTTAGCTTGTCATTTTTCAGAAGCAAAAATGGATGCACAGAAACAGGAAGCAACTTGCCCAGATTCGCTAGCAGGGGAGAGACGACATTCCAGTCCTCTCTCACGTTAGGTGTGGAACTGGGTATGTCACTTAGGTTCTCTGAGTCTTAGCTTCCTCCCTCAGTCAAATGAGGCCAGTAATTCCCCGCTCCCAGGATCTTCGTGAAGAAGGAATGAGAACAAGTGTAAGAGTGAAAGTACTCCACGATATTTGCTATTACTATGACCCAGAAGCCTTCGCCAGAGGTTGTCCCTGATCTGCTGACACTTAGACTGGGGCAGGCCCAGCCCTGAGAGATTCTAATCCCTGGAAATAATGGAAGAACACCTGGAAATCCCTGGGTCACTCCGGGTCCGCTCCAAGAGTATAATTAAAGGCGCTGGGAGGCTCCACTCCCTCCCTCGGCGTCTTCCACCTGGCTTACCCACACACATGCGCCCGATGATGCGGCAGCCAGCGATCGACGCGTGCACCACGGGGATGGTATCGGCGAGTTCGCCCTCGAACACACTGTAGGGACATGACATGGACTCGGTTGGCAAAGGACTGAGGGACCGGTGTCCTTACTCTGCCGGAGCCCCTGACTCCCAGCACCCCTGCCCTCCCCACCACCCACACACTGCCCGGCGGTCCCGGGGCTCCCGCCGCACCTGTAGAAGTTCTCGGACCCTCCAATGGCCACCAGGCAGTAGGTGTTGGTGAGTTTCGCAAAGCAGCCGATCTCACAGTTGTTCTCGAACGACGCTCGGACCGCCATGAGACCTGGGGGCTGCGGGACCGAGAGTTCAGGACCTGCGGACCCTCTCCTGACCCCCCGGGTCGGGATCCCCAGGTCCCATCCCCTTAGGTCCCTCAGGCCCCGGCGCGACCCCGCCCCTCTCGGCCCCTCACACCTCGGGTCTCGCCCACTGGGCCCTTCGAGACTCAACAGCCCCGAATCCTCCGCCCCTCACGACCCCGGGCGCCCAGAACTGACCCTTTCAGTCTCCTTCCACACGGACTCCTTCCACACGGGCTCCTTCCACACGGGCTCACCAAATAACCGCTACCTCCTCACGCGGCAAGACCTCCCTCTCTGCCTGAGGTAGGTTTCCGTTTCCGCCTCCGCCTCCGCCTTGGGAGACTTCCGGAAGAGCATGGCGCACGCCGCCACGCATGCGGTCACTCTAGCTCCAGCCCCTGGGATGACTCTATGGTTGCAAACGGACTCGTCGCAACCCCGCCTGGCCCCGCCCCCCTTCATGCTTGCAGTGCATCATTTATCAGTCATTCATTCACTCGTTCAGGACGTTTTCAGGAGACCTGTGGCTGGCTGGATGTGAGGCATGAGAGAGGAGGAGCCACAGACGTCTCACAGAGGATGAGTCGATGGAGGTATTTACTGAAGCCTGAGGAGGAAGAGGTGTGGGCAAAGTGATCTGCGCGGGACAGACATCAAGGCCGGATCTGGAGCCCAAGGAGAGTGATGGGCATAGGAATAAGATTTGAGGCTGAAGCCTGGGGTGGATGAGGCTCCACCCTCACCCATGGAGAGGGTATCCAGTAGGGAGAAGTGAGAGGACAGAGGCTGGAGAAGGAGGTGTGGCCAGAGAAATAAAGGAAACAAGGCTGAAGAAGGTATTGGAGAGAGGGGAGGATGGATAAAGCAGGGTCTTAGGGAGAGGTTAGAGGGGGAGAGTCCAAAGTGGGCAAGGGTGTGGGAGCTGACTGGTTTTCACTATGTATGTGCCTCTTGCACATGCTTGATCACTCATTCAGCAGCCACTTTCTGTCTCCATGACTGATGGTGGCAGTCAAGGGATATACTCTTGTGGACGAGATGAACTTGGCCCACCTTTTGCAGAATCTACAAAAGCCCCCGGGTCTCTCAGAACATCACAGGGCACAGGGGGTTTGCAGCCCCTGGCCTCCCCCTAGTCCTCCTGAGGCCATCCACTCTCTCCCAGGGAGCCCTCTATAATTAGCATGAATGGTGCCCTTCCCCTGCCCCCAACGTGCAGTTCTATAACTCTGCCACCCTCAGAAAACACCAGGCTGCTGCTGGGTCATAGCATATCTGCCTTTATTGATTTGAATCATGTATATCTCCCAGGCAGGTGGTGAGCTCAGGAAAAGGACCCACAACCTGTCAGAGACTGTGCTTCTAGGGACATTCAGCAAAATGATGTGTGTGTGTCAGAGTGTCTGGGTATCCACATCTTCACTTGTCCTCCCCAGGTCATCTCATCCACTGCCTCAGTCCTCTTGCTGGCCTCTCTTCACCTGGTTCCCTCTACCAGGAATTCCTCTAACTCTCTCCTCCATCTGTCCAAATCCTCCCCATCCTTCAAGGCCTGGCTCAAAAACTGCACCTCTAAGGAACTTTACTCACTACTCCACTGTCACCACGACTCTCTGCCCTTTGTTCTCTACCACCCTCTTTCACTGGTCAGCCTTTAATTAGATACAGCTGTCTTGCTCACCAATGGTTTGTACATTTAATCCTCATCTCCCAGAGACTGAGCCTGATTTATTTGTCAGCCCTATGGCATGCCCAGTATAAGGCTTAGGTTCAAGAAGATACTGGTTGGTGCGTGTGTACCTCCATGTTTGTGTGTGTATGATTATATGCATACTTATGATCTGTGGATCCTGAGGGGTCTACAGTGTACACTGAATGTATATATTTTGTGCCATTCATTTAACCAAATGACATTGAGTACCTATAACTAGAACTCTGAGTGTTTTGGTCTATCACTTCGATCTATGTGTACATACTGTGTGTTTCTATGGGCATACAGTTTGTGGGTGTGAACCCTGTCAGTGTGCTGTGTATATTGTGCAGGCATTTGAGGCATCTCTGTGATGTGTGTATTTTGTGTGCATGGGGACATGTGAACTGTTGATATTGTGTGTCATGTCTGTGCAAAAACATAATCTTAAGAGTCAGAGACATAGGTTTGAGCCCCTATTCTGCCACTTACTTGGACCTGATTCCAAGCAAGTCATCAAACTCTCTGGGCCTCAGCTTCCACATTAACAAAATAAGTAAGATAGTATCTATGATCGTAGAATTGTATACCTACAAGAGATCTATCTTGTAGAACGTTGTGAGGATGAAGGATGAGAAGTAACTGGTGTGAAGTGCCCAGCACAGAGGCAAATGACAGGTGCCCAGTAACTGTGGGTTCCATTTCCCTGTGTGTGTGTGTGTGTGTGTGTATAAGCAAGAATCCTGAGCCCAGGGAGTGTCTCACCTGGGCTTCTAGATATCCTTTCCTCCCCATACAGCCCCTGCCCAAGCTCCCAACACAGTGTCTGGGACCTGAGCAAGTCTAGAGACTCAGTGGATGGAGCAGGGACATGTCTCTGCTGGGAGCAGGACTAGGACTCAAAGCGGCTTCGGAGCAGCTTGCACTTGGACTTGTTGTACTTGGTGATGAGGTCCAGTTTGCTGTGACCCAGGGTCAGTCGTTTCTCATCCTCAAGCAGGCCATTGCTACTGCCATTGCCATGGCCACCTGTGGGGCCCCCGGGAAGGCCAGGGTCAGGTCCCTGCCTGGTGCCCTGCAATTGATGATACTTTGTAATGAGGTCCAGCTTGCTGTGGCCCAGAGTCAGCCGCTTCTCATCCCCGGAGCCCACTCCAGCCTTGCGAGCAGGACTCGGTCCAGGGAGACCACTGGGCCCAGGCCCCTCGCCCCGGAATGGGCCAAACTTTGTGATGAGGTCCAGCTGGCTGTGGCCCAGGGTCTGCCGTCGCTCATCTGGACCCTGCTTGCCAGCCCTGGCTGAGGAGTTGGCTTCAGGAGGCACTCTGGAGCCCCCAGCCTTGGGGTACTGTACCAGGAGGTCCAATTGGCCGTGACCGTGGTTTGGGGATAGCTTCTTGTCCTCTGGAGTCTGATCGCCAGGTCTGGGGGAACCTGATTCAGGGGCACCCCTGCCATCCTGGGCCCGAGGCAGGATATCCATCTGGCTGTATCTCTGGCTTGGGAACAACCTCCTGTCCTCTGTGGCCTGTTCACCAGGCCAAAGGGAACCTGAGTTGGGAGTAACCCCAGAATCAGGGCCTCCTTCTTCTCGGGCTCTGGAGAAGGGGACAAGGAGATCCAGCTGGCCGTGGCTCTGACTGAGAGACACCTTCTTCTCCTCCACCGTCTCCAGGGCTGTGCCAGGTACCCAGCGACCTCGTGTGGGGCTGGGCTCCCGGCTTCCTGGGAGCCCATTCTCCGGTAGCTTGGACAGGGCTGAGACACCCCGAGGGAAGGGGAAGAGAAGGCGCGGGTGAGGGAGCAGAGGTGACCTCACTGTCAGGGTCAAGGGGCTGGCACTATTGTGGTTGAGGGCAGGGGAGGACTGGGACCATGGGAATGCCCCCAGCTTGCCTAGGTTGGCCCTGTAGGGCCCTGGGAGGAAGCCATGATTAGGGTCTGACATCTGGCGTTGCAGAGAGGGCTGGCCACTGGCCTCACCATGGGCAGGGCCCGGGGATGAGGACCCCATACCCATGTCACTGCAGCCACCGCCTCCTGGTAGAGCGAGGTAGGAGGAACGGCCCATGAGAGGTGAGTGCTTGATGCTGCTGAGGCTGGTGCTGGAGGGCGATGAGGATGTGGCACTGGGGATGCGGGGCCTGGAGGCCAAGGCCACTGTGGGAGGGCACGGTGCCCGGGGAGACAGGGGATCATCACCACCACAGAAGCCCTCCACAGGCTGTGACTCCGCATACAGACAGCGGAACTCCCGGTCAAAGTCTTCCACAATGCGGCCCCTCAGCTGCAGCACCATGCTAGTGTGGGCCTGGCTGCAAAGCCAGGTGAAGCTAGGGACAGAGGGTTGAGGTCAGGACCCTGGGGCTAGGCAGGAGTCACAACAAGGGGAGCATACCAAGACACTGGGTCAACTCCACCACCACAAGAGCTCAAGTGAGGGGGCAGAGCTCTGACTCTAGAGTCTGCTAGTCCTAGCTCTGCTTAGTGGACTTGGGCACCTGGTTTCCTATCTCAGGGCTTCAACTTTCCCATCAGAAAAATGACCATAGGCAAGGTTCCCAAAAGTCCCTCCATTTTTGAGCTGCAGTAGTTATATTCTATGCCAAGGGCATTAAAGTAATCCTTCCATAGAGTGAGCTCCTCCAGGGCCCAGCCTGGGGCTGCCTTCCTCCCCGCACTATTCCCTGAGCCCTGCACAATGCCTGGCACACAGCAGCTGCTCAGTCCACGTTGGAAGAATGAAGGACATTCAAAGCTGCCAGATCCCAGGTGCCCTCGCCAGCCAGTGGCCCAGCCCCAAGCCCCTCTCCCCTCCCTTCCACTTGCTCACCTGTAGCTGCCTGCCACTACCTGCTCACAGTCGATGATGACGAACTTCTCCAGGGCTTGCCCTGTGAAGCGGCGGCCTGCCTTGCTGCAGTACATGTCCCCACACGTGCTCCGCACACGCATGTTCTGGGCCAAGGAGGGAGGGAGGGAGGTTGGGGGTGACCTTGAGAGAATGGGGCTCAAGCCATGTCTAAATCCCATGGGGCCTCTGACCTTAAGCAGCTAAGGAAACCCGGTCCCTCACTCCCATTGACCCCCACTGTTCACTGACCACCCAACTGACTCTTCTGCCCTCCCTGACGCCCCACCCCATCCCCTGGTTACTGCCCCTGTCCCTCACTGACCGGCAGGTGCCCCCCATTGAGGTCCATCTTGTAGCACATCTCCAGGAAGTGCCTCAGGTGCTCCTGAGCCAGGAGCAGGTAGACAGGGACACCACGCCGGCTCGAGGCCTCCATGAGGTCACACAGAAGCTCCATGTCGGTGAATACGTCCATCACCACAGCCACCACCTGAAGGAGGGAGGGGAAAGATCATTCCTGCCCGGGGCACTGCCCAGCCCAGGGGCAAGGGCTGGGATCCTAGCAAAAGCACATGACTGAAGAACAGGAGGCCAGAGCCCAAGAGAACACCTGAACTGGAAGGGCTTTTAGCGATGACCTAGCTCGGGGTTCTTAACTCAGACACAGGGAGGTGTCACTGTCTTGAACCCCCAGAAGTTGTTTGAAAGTTTTGGTGTGCATTTTTCTGAGGACAGAATGTTAACTATCAAAGATGTCTGTGGATCAACTGCACTGGTCTAAACCTCCACTCCGTATATGGGGAAACTGAGGCCCAGAGTGCGAGTTGTCAGAAGCATAACCTAGACCCCGGTTCCCAGTCTAGGTCCTCACACTCTCCCCACTAGCTCAAGCCCTAGCTCTGGCCCAGGGACTGTCTGTCTGAGGCTCTCTTCTCAAGAATCTTCTGCAAGCCAGTTACTGGGTTCTTCAGTGCCCTTTGCCTTACCTGCCTCAGTTTCCTAGTGAAGCTGCAGAGGTCTGGTGTGACATCTTACACCCACGGACTCCCTCACTTCCACCCATGCCAAGTAGGACCAAGTTTTCTGCTGAGTGGAAGGGCTGGGGCTTGTGGCCTCCCTCATATAATGGGCTGCCTCAGAGAAGCCTTGAAAGACTCCTAGTACCGCCAAGCCCCCAACTTCCCCTTCCCATTGCATATCTGCTGTGAGAACCTCCTCTCCCAGTTCAGGCCAAGAGCAGGAGGTAAAGAGCAAAGCACTCCAGCTCTGGAGCCAGACAGAACTGGGTTCAAACCTAAACTCAGCTACTTCCGAGTAATATGGCCTTGGGCAAGTTGCTTCACCTCTGGGAGCCTCAACTTCCTCATCTGTTAAATGGAGATGATGGCTACATCTCAGAGTTATGGGGAATTAAATGTGAAAATACTCAACACACAACAGCAGCTCAATAAATGTTCCTTTCCTGCTGCCTCCTTAACAAAGGAGGACATTGGGCTACAGGAAAAGGAAGCACTTCCCAAGGCCACTCTGAGTCAGGGACAGCCCAGAGCGGAAGTCTGGCTTCTACCCAGAGGTGGGGGTCTAAATGGGGGGTGAGGAGGCAAAGCACTGGGGGATGGCTTAGTCCACGGCACAGGCCTGGCCAGGGGTAGGGAGAACAAGGACAGGCAGGAAAGATCAAAGGCGCAGGGGTGATGACAGCAGCCACCTCAATAATAACCCCATTCCCGGTGCCAATCAGGCCTGGCCCTCCCCTGCCTGGGGGCAGGTGGGCTTGCCAGGGAGGCTCTGGACGTACAGTGGGATCCCAGCATCCTGGTTCCTGATCTCTGCAGCAGGAGCCCTACAGGCTGCTACCCTAGACTAGGGCATTGAGACTAACCTACCTCAAATCCTGCCTGGGGTCATCTGACCCATTCCCCTGCCTCCTGGGTCAGAGGTCAGGGCTCCAGGAGTGAAGCTGTGCTAGTCTGCAGCTGGAGCCTTCTGAGGCATGGACCACCCCAACCTGCTCACCCACTTCTCTTTCTCCTGGGCCCCTGCTCCCCATCCCTGAGCCCAGCAGCCTTCACTCCTCTTTCCTTTTGGTGCAGAGCTAAAGGCCCAGCCCTCAAGGTCATGCTAAGGCCCAGGCACCTGTGCCCCCTCCCCTGCTTTAGGCCCAGCTGGAGATACAGTGCATGAGGGGTGAGGTGTGGCTGGGAACATGTGCCAGGAGTCAGGACCCCTTTCCTTCTCCCTGAGCTCTATTTCACCAACTGACTGGACCTCTGTGAGCCAGTCCCAGCCCTTCTCTGGCCTCAGTGTCCTCCTCTGTAAGTCAAGGGGGTAGCTCATAGGTTTTCTATGTTGGGGTTCTTAGTTTGAGGATGATAAACCTTTTTGAGAATCTGATGGAGGCCCTGGACCCTCTCCCAAGAACGATGCAGAAAGCACACCTCCCTGCAATATGCACAACTTTGCATGCATTTTCAGGGCTTTGTGGAGTCCCTGAGGCCCATCCCCTGGTCTACGCTTATCCATAATGTTCTGGAGTGCCAAGGGCTTACCAAGGTGAATAAAACACACGCCCACCCTCCAGGAGCTTGTGATCTGATAGATGCCAGAGGTTCTAGTCCCAACGCTGCCCCTAAGCTGCTGTGTGGCCTTGGGCTGGTCCCTTTCCCTCCCTGGGCCTCAGTTTCCACATCTGTGAAATGAATGTCTGAGGAGATGAGTTCCTTACCGTGCGGGCCTGGCTGAAGAGGAAACGCAGAAGGTCTTTGATGTTCTTAGCCTTGTCCCGCTGGAAGTGGACCACAGCCTGTGTGGGACTGAAGCCCGTGGCCTGTGGAACCTCGGGCCAGCCCAAGTCCAGGTCTGGGGGATCTGTATCGGAGGCCATGGGGAAATAAGTGCCTGAGGTGACTTCGGAGAGCAGGCTGAGGTGGTCGGGCCCTGAGGCCTCCAGTTCCTGGGCCTCACTGAGTTCAGGGCCCCCACACACGTGGCTGGTCATATAGTCCATGTCCAGGGCACTCAGAAAGGGCAGCTCCCGCTCCTCAGAGATGACCTGCAGGTAGGCGGCCTCACCCCGCTCCAGGAGGGCGTCAGCTGCCAGCCGGGCCGCCTCGCTGTGCTGTAGCACCAGTGGTGAGCTTTCCCGCCACCATGGCCGCTTCAGCTCCTCCACCCGGCCCCGAAGGGGTCCTGCCATGCTCTAGGCTTCCAGGCCTCCAGGCCTCCAGGACCTAGGCCTCCCACCTGCCTGCCCACCTGGCTGCCCTCACCCTCCAGCAGGCTCCATGGCCTACACCTCGGGCTGGCTGCAGCAGGAAGAAGATACCAGCACAACCACCTCCTGCCTGCCTGACCTGTGTGGCAGGGCCCCAAACCTGTTGCCAGCCTAAGTCAGAGCCATGCTCCACCCCATTGCCCCTGGCCTCTGGAACCTGTCAGGTCAGCCTCACCTGCCTGCCCGCTGTTGGGACTCGCCCGCCCAGGGAAACTGCAGCGCCAAGTCCTTAGCACACACTCCTGCGCCCTCCCTGCCCCACCCCAGCATCACCTGCCCCATTTCCACCAGGCTCCTAGCAAGTTCCCTCCAAATCCTGACCACAGACCCCCAGTGGAGGTTGGATTATGGTGCAGAGGGGCCTGGGCCTGCTCAGGGACACGCAAGCACACACACGCATGCACAGACACACCAGGGTGGATAAATGACTCAAGACACCAAGATAAAGAAGTGAACACACAAGCAGATGGGCTTACTGACATACTGACAGTTGACACACATAGATTACAGGCTGATATATGCAGACCACACACTTTTTATCAAACTCACGTAAACTGACCCAAACACTAATTCAGAGACTAGCCATAACCCCAAACATACCATGACGGATATCACGAGCCTTGGCACACCTGCACACAGGCCCCAAATAAGAGCTGAACAGTGTCACACAGAACTGCCAAGGACATCAACACCTATCTGTCCCCCTTCTGGGCCTCTCTTTGCTTCTATAATGGCCCTGATACTCTCCACTCCCATAACTGTGGCATTGACAGTACCCTGCTCCACCCCCACCCTGGCTCTGAGCCCATCTTCCAAGGGTCTAGAGCAGTGGCTGTCACCCTGGTCCCCAAGAAGTGTTAAAATGCAGATCTCCAGGCTCTATCCACCTGAGATTCTGATCCAGAAGGTCTAAGTAGGTTTCTCGATCCTGCTTTTTAACAAGTGGCCCTGTGCACCTGGGGCAATGGGCTGAGGCCCACACCCGAGAAATGCTGTTCCAGATGGCTATGTTTCCAACATCCTCAATTTTAGGGAAGCTCTTGGCCTGGTGAGGGGTAGACCTCAGCCTTCTTCCTCTCAGGGTCTGAGTATTAAACAGTTAGTGAGAAAGTTTGTTTCAGAGGATGGGGGACACACTGCAAAGCCAGGAGGCTAACAGGGCAGGCTGGTTTCTATTCTCTGCCCCCAACAGAGGCCATGGTCCTAGAGTCTTCTGTAGCATGGGTGAGAGGCTTTGCTCTGGAGAAGGCGGGTCAGCACATGGCAGCTAGTTAGGGAGGCAGGCCAAGCAGAAGTGGTCACAGTGGTGCAGTGACAGCTCAAGGCACCACCTTTCTATGGAGGTATCGGGTCCAATGAGGAGGGCCGGAAGAGCAGGAGACCTAATGCCATGTCTCACAACCCTAGTTTAGTACTGACTGCACTTGCTTTACTTGGTCTGTGATCACATCCACACCAGATACAGGTTCTTCTATGACCACAGAGCTTCACACATCAGGCCCAACACACACATAGCAGGGGGACAGGAAGATTTAGGGGCTCCCCACATGGAGCTGGGCCCTGGGACCAAAGATGAATGGGGCTGGGGCTTTGTCTTTGAGGACCCTAGAAGTGAGGGACCTAAGGAAGCAGGGGAGAGCCGGACACCAAGATCTTAAGTACTAGGCCATTCCATCCCATCCCAGGGGCAGGGGCAGGGGCAGAAATTGGAGCACCAGGCACTCTAAGGAGGCTCTTCCCTAGGGGTGGGGAGGCTGTGTGAGGGGCAGGGGGTTGAGTAAGCAGAGCCAGACTGTGGGAAGGTAATGAGCTGTGGGGTTAGCTGAGGTGGCAGAGCCTTCATTAGGGCCTTATCTCCAGATTTGTTTAGGGGAAGACCCGGGCCTTTATCTGGGTCAGAGAAGTGCTCCTGGGAGGGGAGGCAGGCATGTTTCTGTGTTGCTGAGTTCCTGTGTTTATGCCTTCAGTGGGCATAAGTCTTTCTAATGGTAGTTTGGGCTCTTTTTAAGAATTATTTTTAATTGTGGTAAAATATACATAACATAAAGTTTACCATCTTAACCATTTTTAAGTTCAGTGGCATTAAGTACATTCATATTGCTGTGCAACCATCACCACCATCCATCTCCCAAAACTTTTTCATCTTCTCCAACTCAAATCTTGTACCCATTAAACACTAACTCTCCATTCCCTTCTCTCTCCCAGCCCCTGCTAACCACAACTCTACTTTCTGACTCTATGAATTTGACTACTCTATGTATCTCAGGAAAGTGGAATCATACAGTATTTGATTTTTTGTGACTGGCATATTTCACTTAGCATAATGTCCTTGAGGTTCATCTATGTTGGAGCACATGTCAGAATTTCCTTCCTTTTAAGGCTGAAAAATCTTCCATTTGTATATATACCACATTATTTATCCATTCACCTATTGATGGACACTCGGGTTCTTTCCACCTTTTGGCTATTGTGAATGATGCCTACACATGGGTGTAAAAATTTGGCTCTGTATTTTTGAGTATTTCCCCTGATGCCCATGTTTGTATTAGATTCCATTTTTCAAAGTAAAAAACCACTGAATATTGGCAATTTCATATGGCTCAACTCAACATATATACATATACCTACGCATAACCGTATCTGTGCATGTATGCACTTGTACGTACTATTTGTGATGTTTGCGTGCCTGCTTGGCTGTTTTTAAGTATCTAGCCATGCATCAGTGTCTATTTACCCATGTGCACATCTGTGTATATGTGCTCACATGTGCATGTCTGGGAGCAGACCTACTTGTGTGTATGAGTGTCTGGGTGGTGGAGGTGGTCTTTGATCCTAACTCTGGACTGTGGTACTGGGTGCATGTACAAGGGAGCTCAACTGAGGGGCAGGGATGGGGAGACTGAGTTTAAGGGAAATGGGCTCTCAGGGATCCCTGACACCCTGATGACAAAAGCGTATAAATCAAATCAAATCTCCCATAGCTGCAGGACTGGCTGACCCTCTGGGCTGAGTTCGTAAAAGGCAATGGGAGGGTAGGCAGGGAGATCTTGGCCTTGGGGCTGGGCCTAGGGGTGGGGTCCCAGGGTGATGGGAGCCATACAGACAAGTAAGCCCAAACCCTGGCTACAGTGTTGAGCACAGGCCCCTTAATAACTGTTATTAGGAGAAAGAAAAATATTTTCCTGTCCAGGAGGTGTGTCAGGCGCCTGCCTGGCATCATTCTGCCATCCTGGGGGCCATTTAGCCTTGTCTGTTGTCTCTAAAAGCCAAGTGGCGCCTGGGCAGGTGACTGTCATGTGGGGGTGGTGGGAGCAGAGACTGGGCTGCAGCCTGTTCAGCTGCAGGCTGCTCTGGTGCCAACACTGCTACACAACTTTAGTGTGGCATCGCTGGGTCAGGGGAGACAAGGTTCCTGGGGAGGACCAGCCAAGACAAATAGGGGAGCCCAGAATGTGCCCAAATCCCTTGAATCAAGGCAAAGAGACTTAAAAGCTAGAGATTCGGGGACAAGTAGTAAGGATTCCCAGAGGTTGGCTTGAGTAGGGTATTAAAGGATGAAAAAGATTTCAAGATGTGCAGAATGGCAAGCAGGGCATTCCAGGCTGGAGGACTAGAGGGTTAAGAGCATGCCTATTGAAGGAAGGAGGGGTGCCAGTGCAGGGAAAGGTCTGCCAGAAAGGCCACCTGGAGCCGCATTCTGAAGAGGACCTTGCTAAGAGGCTGGCTCTCATCGCAAAGATGACTGCACAGAGGTTTGCAAGATTCCTAGACTGACATTTTAGGAGAAGTTTGGAAGTAGTCCCCCAGGGAGAGAGTGGTCCAAAGCACAAAACTCCCAGAAACAACCCAGATGGACGTGGTTCACTGTCCCTGAGCATCACACAGGCCTTCAGGAGGTCACACTGGCTCTGGCACTTAATGCGCAAGTTAAACAATCACAACAAGTCACAGTGGCTTGATTTGTAAAATGGGACCAACATTACCCCCTTCATCAAGTTGTTCTGAGGAATAAATGGGCTACTCTACATAAAGTGCCTGACTGAGAGCAGTAGTAGCTCATTAAATGCTGAATTCCAGAGCTTTTCCAGCTGTGAAAGGGCAGGGGCTCAGTGAAGGCCTGAAGACAAATGAAGCAGTGACCAAAGGAGCTCCTCCTGGTCAGTCTCTGGACCCTTCTAGACCAAAGGCTGGCCCTGAAGGTGAAAATGGTCCCTGGGCCACATCTGTGGAGTATGGCTCTGAGATTTGGCCTCTTATTCCAGCTCACAGGAGGCAAGGTCCTCTCTCCACTCTGCATACACAGATGGGCATTCCGGCAAGCGGAACCACAAGTCATGAGAATTTTGGCATTCTATTTCAGAAAGGGTCTGAGACACTGTGATAATGGGGGTCTCACCTTTTCTGCCACATCCTTCCTTCCACCCCCTGTATCCATCCATCCACCTCATCCCATTCAATGGTGGGGGACTTGTCCCCACTCCTCATGTTTCTTAAAGAGAGGTAATTCCCACTCCACCTTCCAGGAGCGGGAGGGGAAGTGTGAGAGAACCACTCCCTCTTCTGCCTCCTCACTTGCTCCTTCCTCCCTAGGGGAGGAGGAATGGCTTATCTGATTGGTGGCTTAGGAAGAAGTTGGGCTCAAATAATCCTGGATTTTTCTTTTTTTTCATTCTGCTGTAGGCAAAAGGTAGCATATTTTCCATTGATCTACATGGTAAACTTCCAAAGGAGATTCTGCCCCTGCACAGGGAGAGGTCTGCCCTTTCGGGGGTAAGGGGGGCATGTTTAGTTTGGGGAGGATATTAGCAAGGCCATTTGGCCAGAGCAAAAGCTACCTTCTCCAATCAGCTTTGTCAGAAATACTGGTAAAGGGGCCAGCCCGGTGGCCGAGTGGTTAAGTTCACAAACTCTGCTGGGCGTGGACATGGCACCGCTCATCAGGCCCTGGTGAGGCGGCATCCCACATGCCACAACAAAAAGGACCCACAACTAAAATATACAACTATGACTGGGGGGATTTAGGGAGAAAAAGCAGAAAAAAAAAAGATTGGCAACAGTTGTTAACTCAGGTTCCAATCTTTAAAAAAATAGAAAGACTGGTAAAGCCACCATTTTGATGTCCATCTGTTTGTCTCTTGTATCTTCTCAATTTATTCTGAACTTGGGAGGGGAAGAGATATTACCTATTAACCTCTTAAGCCCACAACATTATTGATCCAGCCACCTCTCCCTCCCCATCCCATCCCATCCCATCCCCTCTCCGTCCATCCAATCCATTCAAACATGTATTTAATGCCTTCTTTAGGCCAGCACTGTAGTCCCAAGGATGAGTAAGACTTGGTCTCTGCCTTGGAGGAACTCACAGTTTAGTGGGGAAGGCAGACTCATAATTATAAGCCACAAATTAAGCTGAGGTATAAACCAGTGTTGGGGTTTAGAGCTCATGACCCATTCTGGAACCTTAGAGGAACCATGCCCCGACCCCACACCCTTACCCCCCAACTAGGAAACAGCCCTGTGGCAGGCTCTTTGCCAGATGGTAATTGGGAGGTGAAGGAGCTGTTTCTGGCCATAGGGAAAGAGAAAAAAAGGGAAGGAGCAAGCCAACAAAGGCCTGCGGGTTCTGGTTCCCAATATGAAACCTTACATGAGCTTCTCAGGGCCTCAGCCTCCCATCTGTAAAGTGAGACAGCTGGGCTGGAGGTCTCCAAGTCCCTTGTAGTGGTCACGTTGCATCCTGTCACTCTTTGGCATTACAGGTCAGTGATTAAACACTGTTTCCCTGGAAATTCTCCAGTTGGGATCTCCAGGACCCTTTCTCCCCTCAACTGAGGGGAGGAGGATCCTTGACTTGGTGAGGGTCTGGTTCTAGGCTCACCAGCATGGCTCAAGGGAAATCCCCTGGAAGCCACAAAAAACTTGTGATGAGTAGTTATTACTGGGGCAAGGGTGAGTGAGTAGAGGATCGCCACCAGAGGCCTGGGGTCTGGCCTACCCCTCCCTAAGGCCAAACTCAGTGGAGAGGGTGGGCAAGCCATGGTGGGAAGCAGTGGGGAGAAGGCTAGAAGTGGGCAGAAGCAGGCAACAAGTATAGGACTGCTCCTAAGGGAAGAGTTCAACCACTTTGGGACTGTCACATTCTCTGCCCACAAACCTGCTGGCTCCTGTTCTTCCCACTTCACTCCAATGGCTGATAAGCTCCAGATTCCCTGGGCATCAAGATCAGCATGAGCTCTCCCTTTCCTCTCAGCCCTCACCTCAACCTCAATCTGAGACCTGTCCTCCAATCTCTGGTCTCAGAAAAGGATTCCTTCCTCCCCTCCAAAGCCTAGCCCTTGTTCTCAAGACCAGGCTTCCACTTCCAAAGGGATCTAATAATAACAATTCCCAACATTTATGGGAAGTTTCCTACTCCACTAAGTGCTTTACATTTAATCAGACTCCTCCCCAACCTCCGAGCACATCTTCGGCTTTCTTCTGTGCTGAAGATGCCTTAGTTTTTAACCTGGTCTCCTAACTCCTGTCCAATTTTTCTCCATTCCTTCTCAGCCAGGCACCTCCCAAGATACCACAGCTGCTGCTATACCTTGCATTCTTAACCCTTTGCAATCTGTATTCTCTCAAAAATCTTGTTCCTGGACTAGTCTAAAGCCCTTAAGCCTCACTACCTTACTCCCTGGCCTCTACTCTCTGCAGCATGCAGCATTAAGAGCTGCCCCCTTCTGGAAGCTCTCTCCTCTTCCCTGGCTTCTACTCCCTATAGCGGTTCCTGCTCTCCCTACCTCTTGCTGTGAATGCTTTCCCCCAAGCCCACCCCAGTCCCTGGTCTATGTTCTACAACTCACCTCAGGGAGCTTGTCCAGTTTCATGATTTCAAGTGGCCCCTCTATACCCAAGACAAGACCAAAGTCCTTAGCCCCTCAGTCCTAATCATCCCCTGAGGTCCAGTCCTGCCCTATACCCTTGCCCTCCCTGGGGATCTCTACCATCTAAAGTCTCCCACCAGACTAGCTACCCATACAGACACAACCAATGTGTACCAAAAGCAATGGAGTAGGGCTCAGAAGACATGAGACTGTTCAGCTTTGCTTAGAGGGTCACCTTGCAACAGCAGGTGGTTTCTTCTCAATGGACCTGTTTCTCTGTTGCATGATGGGGCAATAATCCCTGCTCTATCTCATAGGATAATGTAATTAGCACTTCAAAACAACAACAACACAATACAAAGAGGATTCTTCTTTTCAAGTTTCCCTCTTCTGCCAGACATCACCATCTCCCAGTTCCCAGGAGAGCTCTGGACTTCTCCCTTTCTTCAGGCTCCATGTA